GAACTGTTAGTATAACAGAAATGTATTGTTGATATTGATGACTTGACAGCGATAATTCGTTATGTTGTTTTAATGTTACTTGTATTTGCTTTGATTGTATGTTACTGCGGTGCTTATTAATTGATTTATGTGTGGCTTTAATGTGCTTCCATCATCAATTTTTACAAGATAGTGTAACGAACAAGTTTTTTCAGAGTTTTCCAGACACTTTTCTTATTTAAGAAATGAATCGTCTTCATCCTCTGACCTTCTTTTAGCATTCGAATACCTTTAAGGTTCTCGTTTGTTTTCTACTGGGCTACGGGCTTTATTGTCTCTAACTGTATTCGAATTTGACAATTAAGATACAATTCTGAAGGGCTTTCCCCACCGTTCAACGGTGTAGCTCTATATCTATATATCATAAGGATTTCATTAATCTTCTCGTTAATAGGTCTCTCATTCGATGCCATTGCTTTTCTTTTTCTTTTTAAGGTTTGGATTCTTCGTTCTGCCAAGTCATTTGTGCTTGGATGGTATGGGACAATAAATTTTTGGAATATGCCATTCTGGTTGCAGTACTTTTTGAATGTATCACTTGTAAATAAAGTTGCGTTATCCGATACCATTACGTGAGGAAAACTGTGACTTTACGATTTCTTTCGAAAGTAACTCATTAACGCTATCTCTTTAATTGAACTTTTTTTCTCAGTACCTATTTCTGCTAGTAAAAAACGAATAGTACAAATGGTCTTGTAAGTCGCAGTGTATTATAACAATCTTGTAATCTTGTACTGATACTACAATCTTCTAATATACTAAAATCTTATAGTGATACTACAATCTTGTAGTGATATTACAATGTTGTAATGATACTAAAATCTTATAGTGATAGTACACTTTTGTGATAATACTACAATCTTGCGATGATACTATAATCTTGTGATAATACTACAATCCTACAGTACTCATTTTTACAAAACAGTTCGTTTTAACAACTCCATTTCTTTAATGGATAATATATATTAGTGATTATCAAACTCATGATTATCGTAGTTTTCACAATTCAATCTATTAATTAGTTGGATTGGCTTATAAATTTCATATAGTAGATATTTAGGAAATAAGCTCATTGATATAAAAAACATAAATTTAATATTTTCTTCTGTGAAAAATTGCTTCGAGGAAAGTAGGCATGCGAGGCCTAACCTTAAAAGTGGAATCAGTGGGTTAAAGGCTTAATTTCTTAATAGTTTCTCATTATTATTTAAAAAAAAAATATATGTAAAAGGTATTAATACTTCGGCAAATATAAAGCTGTCTTTAATGTTTTTCTTTTTCTTCAACTTATAATTAATTAATAATTAAAGGAATGAGCAGTTATCAACTAATTTTTTTTGTTATCATCAAAATGTGAATTATTCAACAAAATGTTTATTACATAAAGAATTTTAATAATAATATAACAAGGTTTTTTATTACAAGTATTAATAATAACAAAAAATAAAAATAAATTATATAAATGAAAAAAAATATTAAATAACATATTAATACTTATAATATAAGAAATACTTATTAAATCAGAAATATCAAAAAAAATGGTGTGAATTAAATAAAAAACTAAACCATATAAATATTAATGTAGAAAAATATATATATATTTTTATATACTTATAAATGTACACATATATATATAAGCGTATAAGCAGTGGCAACTCATAGCACGTAAAATTAAAAAGTCTTTGCGGCATTGGGGCATTAAACCTCTTTTAAGAGTCCGCTTGCAGCTCTATTCCAACTTCGATAATAATAATATTTTTCTACATACTGTAATATTATTTTATTGTACTTTAAATCATGAACGCCTTAAGCAATTGCAGCGAAGAAAAAAGTATCTGAAGGTTTTCTGCATTAGTTTACTTTCAACTGCATAAAATGTAGTAGTAAAACTGCACAAAATCTTATGATAATAGATGCATGTGAATCTATATGAATATTTATGTGTTGTATAAAACAGATGTTGCACATGGACAGACTTTCTTATGTGTAATTATCAGTAAACAACATGCAACATGATAAATATCTCAAATAACTTTCGCCTTATTTTCACACAAGCAGTCGAAATCTATTTCGAGAGGTTTGAAGAGTAGTGAAAATACCTCAGAAGAAAGCATAAATATAAAGTGTTTGCATGTGAGTAGCTTATTAGTCCCTAATACGGCGCCAGGCCAATAAATTAATTAATTTAAAATTAAAATTGGAACGAACCAATTTTATTTTTATTTTTATAAAAATATTTTATATAAAATATTTTAAAGTGTAGGGTACATATATATCCCATATGGTCTAGTGGCTAGGATATCTGGCTTTCACCCAGAAGGCCCGGGTTCGATTCCCGGTATGGGAATTTTTTACCAGTTAAAACAGTATAATTTCAAAATTATGCATTCACTTTATTTTAAACTAACTCCACTACTATTAACTATATTATTACCATCACTTTCTTCCATTAATTGTATTCACAAAAAATTGTTAGCTCTTCGTGGACCACAACATTTCTCTATCTCACACTATTTAACAACTTTCTTTTACTTGACCTTTATCTAAACACTCTCTCAAATGCTTCTACACTAAACAATTTGCCACCTTGGTTCGAGGATCACTTCAGTTGCTAGGTTGATAGACTCAAGTGATCACAATTCACTTACAAACACTTTGCGATTAGCTGCTGTGTACACTCTATGCATAGCGTAGTTTCGATGTAATCTCATATAATAGTTTCTGACCTACAAACAGTAGCAAATTTTAGACGTAATGCTGCCACAAATTTATATTAATAGAAATTTAGTCGATGGCAGCAAATAATTTGCATTGCATTGAAAAATTATATATAATATATAAAGAACATTAAATATAAAGAATATTATAATATTCTTTAGATTTTACTAAATTACAAGTCAATCCAGATTGATATATGCTATATTGGGAAACTGGGTACTTTCAATAATGAATCATTACTACTGACTTATGCTGCCGAATAACTGGCTAATAAATAATAATCTTGCTGCCGAATAATTATTATAGAGTTTTATTAAAAGTTAAGTAAAAATACCAATTTCCATCAAATCTACAACTTCCAAGATATATCCAAATGAATTTAAGGTAAAATTAAATTTAAAACTGACACGTATAAAGAATAACGTTTAATAAACAATCATTAAACGAATTAACATTTCAATAAACACCTACATATACTATATATACTTTTGAATATATTTTTGAAATGTCTCTATTTTTTTTTTTTCTATAATAATATATATATATGTATCGAGAGAGAAAGAGTGAGTTGACTATACGAATATATATACATCTTATAATTTATTCACTTTTTGTACACTTCTAGAAATAATTTGGAGCGCCCTACTTTCACATACGATTTATCTATCAGCAATTGTCATATCTACATATATCATTTATTACTTACTCTCTGACACTTTTATCAGTTTGATGGCACTTAAACAATTAATCTATTAGCTAACACCATCTGACTTAAATATTCAGTCTGATCAGTCTAAGTCTGATCATTCTGACTTAGGTCTGAATAATGTGTTTTACTTTTAATTTAAAATTCTACAGATCTACAGATAATGCTTCATATCTTCCAAAAATATATCTTTACTTGCTTGTAATTTAGAGTAGGAATATTACAATTAATTCATTGCAATTATCTCTATACCATAAAACCTAACCTAAGCATTTAACTGTTAAAAGAACAATGAGAGGAACTACACTTCTTAGCACACTTCTTTACAATCATATTGTGATATTAAGTCGGTATAATAGATGGGGTCAACTACTTGTAGATTTATAATTTCTCATTTGTTTATATTCTTCTATGGAAGTAATCACACACTGTGAAATTTCAACTTATTTGATCGTTTCTAAGTACTTTGCTTAAATTGCACGCTATTATGTTTTGACTTTTGAGCTTTAACCTGACAAATTATAAAATTAGTTTAACAAAAATGTGAACAACAATTGTGTCTCGGAATTTGAAGTCACGTAAAGTTACTTAAATTTATTTATTTGTCTATGGCAGATATAATTACAATAATTTTTGAAATTATATTTTTAAATTATTTCGTTATTAACATCAGTAAGATACACTGATCTTGATTGTTATCATTGTTTTGAAGACAGAAAAAAACAATAATAAATTACAAAAAAAAAATATTCACTGATATTAAGTGAAATAATAACCACGATTTATTATTGCCAAGCATCATTAGATGAATCGCATATTAAGCATCACATTGACTATATTTTTTATAATTAAAAGTAATTTCTTTAAGAAGATCAAGGTTATCAAGGTAGAACTTTTAGCCATATAGTGAGTATTCAATATCTAGTACTTTACCTAAATAATGCTTAATCTGAAGTAAACTAATTATTTCTTAACTTAATATAGATTCCTTAGTGCGAAAAGCATTAATATGCGTAATACTGGATTCACACGACAATCATGCTTTAATTTTAACTGTCATGTTTGTTATTTCAGCTGTCATTTGTTGTTGCTTTCACTACAAAAAGAAAGTTTTTGACAGTCAAAACTACAAACAAAATTCTAGTGTGAGTCTCATATAAGTAAGGTTCTAACCCTTTTTGAATATATTAGACCATTATTCAATATATATAACCAATTCTTACATTTAAATAGTTCAAAATAGGTTTCAAAAAAAAGATTCTTAAATGAATCTAACTGTATATGTCCCTAGTGACTTATTTAGAAATATAACTTAAAAAGTTAAGCTATATTAACAAGTAACTGTCTTAACAAATACATATGAATACTTTAAAAGCTATCCGGATTATTTTATATAATACTCTTTAATATATAATAATTTGCAAAATATTGACAACTAATAATTTTATATAATAACTATCAAACTAATCATCTAATTTAATTCAGACAATAAATATTATTACTATTATTATTATTACTTTTTAAAATATTTACTTACCGGGTCTAGTAATACGCCCAACATTGAAACGGTGTGTGTAATTAACTTTAAAATATTGTTCAACGATTGCACGTTCAGCCTTTCCCTCTCCATTGACTGGTGAAAATAAATATTCAGGATCGATTTGGTATTTTAACTGCTGGAAACTGAAATAACAAGCATGTCAGATAGATTTTAGTTACTAATTTAAATTAAAATTATTAGTAGTCATTAGATTCAATTTATTAGACTTCGATTAGGATATTACAGTTAGCTTTAGGCTTAAGACCTTCCTGTCTGTTTTGCTTAGGTTGTTTTCAATTTACCGAATTGGGTTAGACATATATCAATAACATTAATAATACCATTGCTTTACATATATAAATGTTAAAATGAAAACTTTATATACATACATATCTATATCTATTTACAAATGCAATTTCACTGAAAGATTTAAATAATAGATATTAGTAATAAAAGGGATACAAACATATTCAGGGTGTAATTTTTAAAGACTACCTAAATAGTTCAATATTTAATAATTTATTTTTTTAAATACATAAAAGAGGGCTCTATACTACAAAAATGTTATTATGACAGCCGTAATATTGTTGCGACTAAATTGGAATGTTCTATTAATATATATGAAATATATATAATATTTTTATATATTTCATATATGGTAGTCTTTTCGGGGATCAATGCGATCCTGAACAAAATATGACTTAATATGAAAATCCATATCAAAACAAAACCTTTATCATACACGAAATGTTTAACCGACGATATTATGAAAGGTGTCTGATTATGCGAATATTTTTCTGATTATAACATACACGTACCAAGCCGCTTGTTTTGTTTCAGGGCTGTATGAAACTTCTCGCTATAGCTGATAGATAGCTATATATCTTTAGATTATTATCTACTCAAAAATTTTGTTGGGTAAGTTTCTGACTTTCAATATCACTGTATTACTCTATATTTGTATATACTACACAAATATAACAAATATTGTACAAATGTATATGTTATAAATAACACCCAAAGTGCCTACTCACAGTTTTCAAAACGAATAAGATATAAACAACAGCCAAAGTGACAACTGGCAACTTTTAAAAAGATGAATAAATATGAATTTTATTTCTAGAAGCTTATAGAAAGAATATAGCAAGAAATACCATCCATTTAATGTTCAACTAATATTAATTAACTTAAATTAACTTATAAATTAACTTATACAGTTCTTCTTTAGAAACTTACCCTGTTATACATAATAAGGACAGCAAGACTGGCACAATTATAAAATATCCTGGATGTTTTGCAATGATAATACCCAAATGATAGAATGACTTATTCAAAGTTTTATCCACGCAAGATACGCCGCATACCATCTGCAAAAAATAATTAACAATAAATTAGTTTATTTATTAAATTTTAATAAAATAATATTCTTAATAAATATAAAAAATATCACTAAAATGAAATAAATTTAAATAACAATACAGTAAATGATAAACATGAATATTATTCATCAATTGATTCACACGGGAAAAAAACGTAATTTCAATTACCTTTCAATGAGATACTCAACACGCAATATAATATTTATAAAATAAGAAACCTAATGTATTAAAAATCAATTAAATTAAAATTTATTTTTTATATTTTGCTAAGTAATGAGGGCTTAAAAAGGGCGTGTCAAATTCGTAGAAACTGCGTGAGTTAATGAAACACCTTCAACTTAAACTTGCTTCAGTTATTTTTATTATTAAAAAAAATGACAATTAAATTAAAAACAAGGACGTTTCTACGAATAGATTATATTTAAAAATTGAACAAAATTATTCATTACATTTAAATATACATACACAATTTTTTGCTTCAAACCTCTAACTAATAACAATTGTTTGTATAATTAATAAAAATTAGTTTTTTTCTTGATTATAAGAAAAATATAAATTTATCTTAATTTCAGCATTAAATTACCTATTTTTTTAATGCTTTAAATATCTCAAATGATATAAATTTTGTAGTGTTGAGATACTTTTGAAAGCTCCTAAAAAGTATCTCAATTAAGTTGCTCACTTGAACAAATCGTTTGCAATAAACACTTCCTGTGTGCCCACAAAATATTTTTCATGGAATTTAATTTATATTGCTTAGGTACTAAGAGCACTTAGCGCAATTGAAATAAATATATATTAATTTATAAATTAATTTGAAATAAAAACATGTGCTTTTTAGAAACATTATTAGATTTTATAGAATTTGCCTAGTCATGCTATTGCAAAGTTTTGGGATTCCCCAATTTATGGGTTAATACCTAAAATTAAGATCTAGCAAATATATTACAACAAATAGTGTAATATAAGATATATATTAATATTAAAATATATTGAAAATATACTAATAATCAGCAACTAAATTAAAGTATGAAGTTCAATTAAATGTCTTATTTTTAACAAACAGTATAAAATTTACCGCCCCGTACTGTTAATGATTACTCTGAGATGAGATAGTGCTAAGTAGGGCAGCCTGTTGATTTTCGCATATAGTTTCAACGGCTCTGTCCCTTATGTATTTTTTGACCAGATCTTTTCTAAGGTGTCTAAACATGTCATTTGTGCGGATCTACCATGGCACTTTGAAGATTTTAAAAAGTAGTTGAAATTATAGATGGAAATAAAACAGTATTATTATAATTATTATATTTTTGTACAATATATTTTCTCATCTTGTCACTTTGTATAAAGTAGAACATGACCCTAACGCTCTTTACGGGACATCTTATAATACTGTATCCTTTCAGATAATTATCAATAGCTGGTCGGCACACACATACACACATAGCCACCAATATCTCGGCTATAACTTCATGCATGGTTATTTTCAAACCTTAGCAAACCCTAATATTGGCATAACCCTACAAAAAAGGTCCTGAAGTAAAAATTCGCCTTGTGTTGGTCAAGTTAATTTCAATCAATCTTCAATTTTAAATTTAAATTATATTATCATACAATTGAAGAATTTAATGGAATTGTATAAATTATTTGACGACTTATAATTATACTTTCCCAAATAATATATATAGAAAGAAAATAATTTTTAATAATGAAATTGTAGATCCAATAGTTGAGATAATATTTTATATTGTGTAGCCATTAGGATAATCAGAATATCGTCGTGGTATTCCTACTAATCCTAAAAAACCACTATCACTGCAAGAGTAGAATGGAAAGCTTGTATCATATCTTTATAGTCAATTCTTTACGTCCATCTCTATTTTTAAAATCATCCCTCTTTTAGTCTCAACATTTAGTTTCTAGTAGAGAAGGCAATGTTCTTTCGACTGTTACTTTTGAATTTTTATTGGGAAAGATGCGAATATTTTGTTTGATGACATATCCGCCAAGTAATAAATAAGTCTCATCATGTGAAGAATAAATATCGCTGAAACCCAACCTACAACCCAATCAAAACTACAATTTTTTTTTTAATAAAATTGATTAACTTTTTTCAAAGGATCCAGAGGATCAATCGTTAATAGTTTTTATTATATACCAAATATGAACTATAGGCGAGCAGATAGAATCATTTCATCAAGTTGATCACGACTATATATATATATATACTAAATTTACTAAATTTAATATTTTTTTTTAATTTTAAAATTTTCAAAAATATTATTATACATTTTTTTAAAATTCTATTTGTTTTCAAATCAACTTTATTTATTACTAATTTTATTTTTAACATATTTTAAAATATTTAACATACAAAAATTAATTTTTCATTACATTTACACGATTCATTAGGAAATCGTTTAAATAATGACTATTGTGTAAAAATCATAAATAATTGATTGTCTCTGAAACAAATTGCAAATAAATATTTTCTTAACTATATTTCATTAAATTTAAAAACAAATTATTTAAGATTAAATGTTTTTAAATTTTCAATTACTGAAGTGACAAAATTCATGAAAACTGCCTTCACGGTTTCAAAATTCAAGTATTAAAAATATATTAATATTTTTATGATATAGTAATATTTCTAGTCGTTAAATTAAGTCCGAGACTTATTACAGACGATAAGTCTTTCTTCATTTAGAACTGTGGATATAGTATATAAAATTTAATTGATACTTACTAATATATTTATGAAGTAATAAATCCTCTGCTTCATTCAGTTTTTTCCCACAAATTATCACTACAAATTTAATGAAATTACACTGGAAACCTGGTATTGCAACTCATCCATATACATATATGATTTTTTATTGAAATAAAACCAAAAAAAAATCACCAAAATTTATATATAAATTAATAAATTGGTTAACTTTTCTGTCTTAATTAATGCATTTTTTTATATATGAATTATGCATTCGAAACATAATCTATTGCATTTCTTCATAAATAACTTGAATTTACCACTGCAACGTCTGTTAGCAAATTCCCTGCTAGATGTGAGGGAATGTAGGCGCAAGAGTGAAAAATGTGTATTTCAGTTGAGTGTAAAATTAAAAATTAAAATTTTCAAATCAACTGAAATTAAAATTAAAAAAAATTTATTTAAAATAAATTAGACATGGTTCAGCCATAAAACAATTTGAAAGTCGTTGAAGTTGCTTAGATTTACGTTAGCAGCAATTAACACAAGTGTTTAGCAATCAGTTGCTAAATGTAAGTAAATTTGAGTTTCCATTTAAGAAATTTATCGATATTTTAAAATTTTTAAATTAAATAAGCAAAGCGTGCACTGCATTTTCCCAATGCAAATTGCACTACAAGTGACGCTGTTCACTAAATTTACCGGTAAATAAACTTCAAATTGAACCGAAAAGTGTTAAGTACTTGAGAAAACTTCAACAAAGAAAAGTGTCAGTAACACTTTCAATGAAAATATTTCTAATTTAGATCTATTTTGGTATAGTTAAGTTGTTTATGAACTATTGAGCCATTTTAAATGTCAAACTGTGATAAGTTGAAACCCGCATTAACTTATCACAATAAAGTATTACTAATCATAATAAAGTATTGCTTCGTTATAAGTGTTCCATCTGAACACTTCGATTTATCATAATAGACGGTATAATAAATTTGATTTAAAAGATCTATTAAAAAATAAGAGATTAAAAGTCTCTAATTTAATAGAAAGTTCTCTAACAGTATTGAATAGCAACAACAAAGTTTTTGATTTAATTTTAATTAATTGAAGTTCCAAATTCAAAGATACAAGTCAAATACGGCTTTAAGTTAATTGGCTAATGCACACGGACTCTAAACTTTAAATTTAGCAGGATATGAGTTCCAGCCTTAGTACAAACAGTCTCAAAAAAAATTATTTACAAATAATTAAATATAAGAAATAATTCCAAAACCACTGATATTGGGTACTTGACTATACAATTCATTAAAAATAAATAAAAAATTTTGTTATTGCAAGTCAATACTGTTCGAAATCTCTCTATAAACATTACATATAATTTTATTTTATGATTTTTCTCATCATTCTATATATAAATCGGGTATACCCTGAAATCAAACAAATTATCGGTTATAATGTCATTGGCTCCAACACCAGAGTCTCACTTGCACTTGCACTATGCGCGTAAAAGAAATCCGAAAGATGGTACTAGTTTATAGATAATAAAGCGATTTTTATGGTTTATAATTGAAAACCTTATAATATTTATTACTATCATATTCCAAATCTCTTTCGAAACAATGTATGGACATATTAGATTCGTTTGTAGGTAGTCCAAGGTAAATAGTCCTAAGCAAATGTTTATGTACTAGAAGGTACGACTATCTTCTAGATTCGTTCATAGATAATAGAAGGTAGATTATTGTAAATCAAATTTTTATAATTTATAATTAATATTTTTAAACAACCTAACAATATTTATAACTACAATATTTAGAAGGTCGATAATCATTAAACAAATTTTTATAGTTTATAATTAATACTATTGAAAAACATAACAATATTTATTGCTACAATATACCAAACTTCTTTCGATGTAATGTATAAGCGTATTAGATGCGTTTCTGGGTAGCCCAAAGTAAATAGACCTAAGCCTACATTTTTGTAATTGAAGGTACTACTACCTCTTAGATTCGTTTATAGATAATAGAAATAGACCTATAGGCCTATATTTTAAATATAGACCTATATTTTTGTACTAGAAGGTACCACTACCTCTTAGATTCGTTTATAGATAATAGAGAGTACATAATTGTAAACCAAATTTTTATGATTTATAATTAATACTATTGAGAAACCTCACAATACGTATTACTACAATATTTCAAACGTCTTTCGGTTTAATGTATGGGGGTACTATACTCGTTTCCAGATAGCCCAAGGTAAAGAGGCTTAAGCCTATTTT